CTGGAAAGGTCATAACAGCCTTTGTTTTCTCACTAGATGGTCTTATCGTTCCATTGGAAATATGGTAGCCTAAGAATTCAACAGATCTTTGTAGTATTTGTGACTCCTTCCAATTTATTTCGAGCTGCCACCTTCAGCAAAGCTTTAAGTCGTTCAATTCCCTCTTTTTCATCTTTTGAAAGTATAATTATATCGTCAATAAATATCAAAACCACTCCCGTTCTTATAAAATCCGCAAATATGATGTTAATGTATCTTGTAAAGTATTTAGGACAGATAGATAGACCAAACGGTGCTCTTAAAATGATGACCAATGTAGTGCGGTAAAATATATTATAAATGATTACGTACCTTTGAAGACCAAAGATGCACCCATTAGGCTGAAAATTGTTCTAAAAGATGATATTCCAGTTACACAACGGCCTAGAAGATTAGCTTCAACCGAAGAACTATTAGTGAAGCAGCAAGTTGATGATTGGTTGAAGATGGGCATCATTCGTCCTAGTTATTCTGAGTATGCAAGTCCCTTAGTATTGACAAAGAAAAAAGATGGCAGTGTACGAGTTTGCGTAGATTATCGAAAGATAAATCAGAAAATGGTGAAAGACGAACATCCATTACCTGTAATCGACGACCTTATTGACAAATTGAGTAGAGTGAATGTGTATAGTACACTCGATTTAAAAAATGGCTTTTTCCACTTACCAATTGAAGAAGAGTCGGTGAAGTATACATCATTTGTAACGAGTAACCCTGAAGGCCAATATGAATTTTTAAGAGCACCGTTTGGTCTATCTGTCCTAAATACTTTACAAGATACATTAACATCATATTTGCGGATTTTATAAGAACGGGAGTGGTTTTGATATTTATTGACGATATAATTATACTTTCAAAAGATGAAAAAGAGGGAATTGAACGACTTAAAGCTTTGCTGAAGGTGGCAGCGGAGTATGGGCTCGAAATAAATTGGAAGGAGTCACAAATACTACAAAGATCTGTTGAATTCTTAGGCTACCATATTTCCAATGGAACGATAAGACCATCTAGTGAGAAAACAAAGGCTGTTATGACCTTTCCAGTGCCTAAAAATTTGAAAGAACTGCACAGCTTCATAGGATTAACTTCGTACTTCAGGAAGTTTATTCAAAATTATGCTTTAATAGCGAAGCCATTAAGTGATTTATTGAAAAAAGGTGAGTTTAAGTTTGAGGATGTTCAAAGACAAGCTTTTGACGAATTAAAGTCAAAATTATGTTGTGAACCAGTGTTGAAAATATTTGATGTTCATTTGGAAACTGAATAACATACAAATGCTTCTATGCATGGATATGCAGCTATTTTAATGCAACGAGACCCTAATGATGGTTGTCAACATCCTGTTCACTACATGAGCAGAAAGACTACAGAAGTTCAACAAAAGTGTTGCAGTTACGAGTTAGAAGCTTTAGCTGTTATTGAAGCCGTGAAGAAATTCAGAAGATATCTTATAGGAATACCCTTTAAAATTGTCACTGATTGTGAAGCCTTTCAAAAAACCTTGAACAAAAAAGATGCATCTGCAAAAGTAGCACGATGGATACTATACTTACAGGATTTTCAGTATTCTATAGAACATAGAACAGTTGACGCATTGAGCAGAAACATTTGTTTTGTTGATGTTGAGTTACATGCGAGAATAAAGAAGGCACAAGAAGAAGATGAAGGGTTAAAGATTATCAGAAAACTATTAGAAAAGAATGGATATGAAGATTATTTTTTAGAGAATGATGTTATCTATAAAGGACCGGAGAAGAAATTGGTATTACCTGATATGATGGATATGGAATTGATTAAAAAAGCCCATGGAATTGGACATTTTGGGAAGAAGAAGATTAAGGATATAATAGAAAAAGATTATTACATTACAAAACTAGACAGTAAAATCGATAAGATTGTTTCTACCTGTGTACCCTGTTTATTAGCGAGTAGAAAGTCTGGTAAGAAAGAAGGCTTTTTAAATCCAATTGATAAAGGAGAATTACCACTGGATACTTTACATTGTGATCATTTAGGGCCATTAGATGCAACTAAGAAAATGCATAACTACATACTTACTGTAATTGATGGATATACAAAGTTTGTCTGGATTTATCCTGTTAAGACTGTGGCAGCAAAGGAAACCGTAGAAAACTTAAAGTTGCACCAGAAAGATTATGGTAACCCACGGAGAATCATTACTGACCGTGGAGTAGCTTTTACAGGGAATGAATTTCAAGAGTACTGTCAAGAGGAAGGCATTAAACATATCACTATTGCCACTGGAATACCACGCGGAAATGGTCAAGTTGAAAGGGTGAACAGAGTTATTATTTCTACTTTAACAAAGATGTGTATAGAAGAACCAGGCCATTGGTATAAGCATCTGAGTAAGCTTCAAAGAGTCATTAATAGCACATATCAACGATCAATTAACACAACACCTTTTGAATTGTTAACGGGAGTGAAACTTAAGCTGAAAGAAGATTTATCTATTATGGAATACTTAGAAGAGGAAAGCAGAATCGAATTTATGAGTAGAAGAGATGAAACAAGAAGAGAGGCTAAGGCACAAATATTAAAGATCCAAGAAGAGAATAGAAAGACATATAACAAAAGACGTAAAGAAGGAGAGAAGTACAAGCAAGGTGATCTAGTTGCTATACAACGTGTACAGTTTGGAACTGCGTTAAAATTAAAACCAAATTCTACGGACCATATCGAATTACAAAGGAGTTGGGAAGGGGTAGGTACGAGGTAGAGAAAATAGACAGAGGTAAAGAAGGGCCGATAAGAACTACATCAGCTTCAGATTATATGAAGAGATGGCCTTGATACAAATTGTTTTTTTTGACCGATTAAGTAATTGTTTTTGTAATTTTGTATTTTTTAAACATCTACTAAAACTGCCTAAACTACCTGTGGTTGTAAAGGAATAAGGTAATTAGTGTTGTTATTTTTTTTGTTGTATGTTTAAACACTTATGTCTATGAAGAAGGAAAAAAAATGTTAAGTACTTAGTATAACTGTGGTAAAGTAGCTTCAGTCTGAGGCCAGACTGATTTGCAGAATGGCCGAGTTGTAGGATTAATTATTTAATAGTTGAGTAAAAGATGATTTTTGAACGAAGTATTGTGTGAATGAGAAGGATGGATGACGTAAAAGGGATTGAGGAACTTTTCGCAACGACGCCACGAACGAGTAACGTGTATCTGTGTCTTAAAATGTATTAATTTAATAGAGATGAAAATAGTAACAATATACTCAAAATAAAGATTTTATTTATCCTACGCCTACATATATATATATATATATATATATTTAAAGGTATTTATATATATATATATACAGCGTGTCGTTACCACCGCGACAATAACTGAACACACATATAGAGAATAACTTTTTAAATTGGATTCAACATTTACATTCTTTAGACATCAATATTTACCGAGTTATTAAATTTTCCAAAACAAACAATTTTAGAACACCCTTACGTATAAAACTGTAACGTAAAGTTCATTTGTGAAGGTCACAAAGCATATGATTGGGTTGAATGAATTTAAAAGAGACAAAACATACTGTTAGAAGGAGAGGCTTGTTACAAATTTTGTTTCTTTTTTACTTAATTAGTTAGTTTGAAAAATATTTTTTTTTAATTATGGATTTTGTTTAACGTTAATATTTTTTTATGATCATTGGCAAGTAGCGTTAGACGTGTGTTCATTTATTGCCGCGATGGTAACGAAACGCTGTATATATTATATATGTAGATGTTGTTCAATTCTCCACCCTGGCCGATAGGCACACAAAATTTTACGAAAATAGGTCGAGCCATAAATGAACACACATATAGGGGATTAATTTTTAAAGTTCTATTAAACATTTAAATTCTTTAAACATCAATATTTACAGAGTTAAAAATTTTCCAAAACAAACAATTTTAGAACACCCTTACGTATAAAACTGTAACGTAAAGTTAATTTGTAAAGGTCACAAAGCATATGATTGGGTTGAATGAATTTTTGTAATGCGACGCTGTGGCGCGAGTTGTATAGGATGTTACATATTATTTTGTTTCTTTTTTACTTAATTAGTTTGTTTGAAAAATATTTTTTTTTAAATTATGGATTTTGTTTAATGTTAATAATTTTTGTAACATTAATATTGTTTCAATAAATATGCATTTGATTATTAATTTAGTTTCTCTTCTTTTCTTTCTATCATATTATGTTAAAAATATACTATAGTTCATAATATAATATATTATATAGAGTTCTAAGTGATCTGAAGTGTTTCCTGTGTGCATATCCATTTATAGATAAAGGTATTCTTATTCATTCATTTTCTATTATTAATGACATAAAATTTTATTTATTCTTATGTTTAATATTGAACAGTTAAAAGATATTTTATTAATAATTTATCGCTCTACCAATTTAGACACTATAATTTAAAATATTTAATTTAAGCATGCATTCAACTGCAAAGAGTACAAATTTGTTACTTTCCATCTCATTCATATTTCATTTAATTCACATACTCATTATATCTATTATGTAATTTAACCTATGTTTTACTTTATAAATGCTATATACAGGGCACAAAATGGCTTTAAATGTTACAGCTCTTATTAAAAAAGATAGCTTTATATCCATGTCATGTAATTAACTTAGAATTGTCCAAAATATGCTTTCGCTAGTGATATATTGAGCCCAATTTCCAAAAGGTTGTCAATACATCTGGAACCCTCGAGTGTAACAGATGTCCATGAGCGGTGGTATTCACTTAACATCAGGTGATTCGTCTGCTCGTTTGGCAACTTTTTATAAAAAAAAATATAAAGAGGCACAATAATATCATATGAATTTATCAATTTCATGATAAATTATGTTATATTAAATTTATTAAAACATGCCAGACATTTTCGTATTTAATAAAATTATAGGTTTTGAAATAATAATGAGGAGTACAATATGAAGGAGATGGTAGGAGGATGCTGTGTGTGCTCAGATGAGCGAGGTTGGCCTGACAACCCGCTGGTCTATTGTGATGGAAATGGATGCACAGTCGCAGTTCACCAAGGTAGAAAATAATATTGTAAATAAACTATAAATAATAGAACACCAAAGTTAAATATAAGCCAAGTCACAAATTGGGCCAATGATTTCTCATTACTCTGTGTGTCTTCCTGCACAAGCCGTGTATTGCAAAATGGAATGAATGTCAGTCACTATTAAGTTTTGCATACTTCTGTAGTTTACTCAAATAGTGTAGCTGTTTTGCTTCTTTTTCAGCTTGTTATGGGATAGTGACTGTACCTACAGGCCCCTGGTTTTGCCGGAAATGTGAGAGCCCGGAGAATAAAGGAAAAGTAGTAAGTTTCTTTGGTCAATCTAAAAGATTTATTAACAATAAAGCTACATGGCTGGTCCATTGCCTTCAGTTTACCAATCTTCTGAGCTATGTCAGTTACATTTCTTCTACTGCGGATATCCACATTGCATACTCAATCACGCAGAGAAATACCAAGCATAGTGTGATCAATATTAAGCTGAATGACTTGATGTTCTTTATATGGGCGGGGCAGTTAAGGACCATGTCCCAGATCCTAAGGTCATCGCTGGCAAAACACATTAATTATATATTGTTATTTATATACTGTCAATTCTTAATGAATTCATATTTTAATTAATTATTAAACCTAATTATTGTTAATATTATTTAATATTAATTATTTAATACCAAACCATAAAAAGGTTTTATGGTAATATTTTCACATACTTAGTAAACTTCTATTTTGACATTTTAATAAATAAATTGCTAATAAAAAAACATGTGTCATAGACATTAAATTTAATTTATGCACATCTAAGAAACATTTTCTGTTCTTTCAGCGATGCGAACTATGCCCTTCTAAGTCTGGTGCATTAAAGCGAACGGATACAGGAGGATGGGCTCATGTTGTCTGTGCACTTTATATACCTGAAGTCAGATTTGGTAATGTGACCTCAATGGAGCCTATTGTCTTGAGATTGATTCCACCTGAAAGATACAACAAGGTTTGTGATATTAAAAATATTATATTTAGTTGGCGGATCTTAATGTCCTGATGGTGCCATACTACCTAGGGAAGTATAAAATACTAAAGAGAATGTGACTTACTGTTGTGATGAATAATGTTATATTTATTTCAAGATTTATTCCAAGCATTACATAAAATCTTCAAATAAATGTTATCCCACTTTACATAAATACATATTTAATTATTTTCACCATATTAATTTCAGACATGTTACATTTGCCAAGATTTGGGAAAGTCACATAGAGCCAATGCTGGTGCATGTATGCAGTGCAACAAGTCAGGTGTGTTAACTTCGGTTTCAATGTGAATGTGATGAACTGATCAATCTTATTGATGTATTGAACTGGAAATATTTAAAAAGTTTTGGAAAATTTACTTTAATTAATTATTTGCAAATAATTTTTACAGGATGTAAACAACAATTTCATGTGACATGCGCTCAGAGCCTGGGATTGCTATGTGAAGAAGCTGGAAATTATTTGGACAATGTTAAATATTGCGGATATTGTCAACATCATTACAGTAAACTTGTAAGTGGAAGAAAATTTTCAGAACTGATTTTCTGGAAAAAGAAGTGCTTTTCGTGTTATTTATGTACTTATTTCTAGAAATAAGCGAGTACAACACAAACTACTAGTAGTTTGTGGTGTACTTGCTTATTTAGAGTTGTTTCAATATAAGCAGCCCGGATCTACAATTCTTTCAAACCAGGGCAGAAACTTAATAGTGGCGTACCTCTCTTCAGCGTTTGAGATAAATTATTCAAAGAAAACTTGTACTTATATAATCGTTAGTATTTTTCGTTAATGGGGAAAATAATTTGCACTCTTTATTGTTTATCACCTATATCATCGAATATTCACCGAATATTTCTTTTCGGCGAAAGAATCTGTAAACTCATCAAACGCCGTGTCAAAGGCAGTTCTATGTTGAATAGCTAGAATCGCGAGTCCAGATACGTGTTGATGATGTGACTCATTGTCGAACGCAGATTCTAATTATTTTACGTTTACTGAAGCTTTAATCTTAATCATGCTATATTATGATTTTGTCGCCCCTTGTACCACGCCCTGGGTGGGTGCCCCGGTTTGCCCTCTCTAGATCCGGGGCTGAATATAAGATGCCGTCATTCTTAATTGAACTTTTCAACCTTGGTTCGTTCAAATTGAACGATAATTTTAGCAGATCACCTTTTCTGACAATAACTATAAGTGAGATTTAAAAACGGGTAATAAGTATACTAGGATTTCATACAGGCTTATAAACTGTCAAAAAATAATAGAATTTTATGGCGTTTCGAACCATCTCATTATCGAAGGCACATGTCCATCCATCACATTGATCATTATTAAGCATACATGAACGAAGACACCTACGTAGTTGGAGTGTTGATTGTGCAGAAAAAGGGCGGTAACGTGAAGACCATCCCTCCGTACAAGCCGGTATCGCACGATAGCCAGTCGAGCGACTCAAGTGAGAAAGACGGCGAGGCTTCTCCCATGGCTAGCGGCAGCGGAACGCCAACACACCCAGCTAAAGCTAAAGGGGTATGTTCCTACGCGAGTCCGTTTAGGGGTTGCAATTGGATTTCGAACGAAACTTCTTTACTAACTTATACGTATTTAATGTATGAATAAAATAAAAGAAAATTAAAAACAAAAGGTCGTTAGCTAAGCTGAGAGGAGTCCTGGGCCGTCACAACGTTTTATAAGCGGCGCTAGTTATTATAAGGAAAGGACGTTGCCTTCGGTTGGAAAAATTTGGACATGATGGGAATAGGTAACTCTCAGCAACATGGGGGTAATCATTTGCTTAAATTATGTGAGAATGCAACAGTACCGCCCTAATTGTATGCACAAAGATTCACATGCGGAGATATAGCCCGAAAAATATAATATAGAGAAAAAAGTGAATGATGATGGTTAATTTTGTAAATAATATTTACTCACCACGGGAGTAAAAAAATTTTGAAATTAAGTTTTGTTAATTTTACTGTTGTATCCCACCAGTCGCAGGCTAATGCATTAAAAGTTACTTGTAGTTAGGTCCAAAGAATCACTAACAAAAAAAATGTGTAAAATATTTTGTCTAATGCTATTTGTGACAGTTACGAATCGTTCTTTTATTCTTTTCTGAATGGTATATGAATGTTGTTTTTTTTTATTTTCAGCCAAGCCGCAAATCTTCGCACAGCAGCGGCGTGATATCAGGGAAGAATACACCGAACGCGTCCAAGACGCCTACAAACTCAGGACAACAACTGGGTAAGTAATCCATACTTCCATACTAATAATATAAATGCGAAAGTAACGCTGTCTGTCTGTCTCGCTTTCAGGCCAAAACTACTGAACCGATTTAAATGAAATTTGGTACACAGATAGTCTAGTCTTTAAAAAATACGCATAGTTTTTAAAGAAAGATGTTTACGAGTATTTAATGGTTTCAAGGCGAGCGAAGCCGCGGGTGAAAAGCTAGTTATTTTTCATTATTCAATACGTTTATTCCTTTCTTCATACTATAGCAATTTCACGCTTCCAAAACACCGTCTAGGCAGTGGTTTTTGAGTGACGGCGTATAAGTGCTCGTTCACGTTTAATCGCGGGTGCGGTAGCGGGCACGGTCACGGAATATCAAACATCTGACTTAGTATCCAAATGTTCACGTACGAAACGAACGCGCGATATTATCAAACGTTTATTTGAGACGTTTGAGTGTGTTCACGTCGAACTAGCGGCGGAGCGCGCTATTCACTCGCGACATCAGGTAAGTTCAACCATTTTAGCATCTTCCACTTTAGTTATGAATTTTCGGTTCAAAATATAAGATAGTCGTCAATGTTTTCAACCTCTGAAAACACGTTACACTCGCGCCAAATCGCGACGTCTACCGCGCCCGCACTCGCCACCGCCCATGATCCTACGTGAACAGGCACTAAGGAATGTGAAAGACGAAGATGAGTACTGAAACGAATAACGACTAGAATTACATGAGATTAATTGTAACATTTGAACAGGTATACGCATTTGTTGTGTTAAATTTACTCTAGAGTGACCGATGCTTCGAAAACTGCAAAATCCAACGCCACCAGAAACACCGAGTCAAAATTGGAATGAGAATTGAGAATTATACGTCCCAATTTCGTAGTTACGTGGTACTATGCTCAGATTTTTTGAATTTAAACGAATTGTATTTTTATTGCCTTGGAGGATTGCAGGTGTGCTTCTACTTCATTAAAACAAAACGAATCTCAGAATGCTGCCACTCAACAATTTTATCCCTTGAATGTCTTTATTTCAATGTGCTAATCATCCATGCGAAGTATCGGTGTTTTATTCCAAGGTTTTGAAGTAATTTGTTGGGACGGTTTATAATGGTCACAAGTTGCTTCTCATTCTATGTGTTTATAATATGAACGTATTTATGAAATAGCAGTTTTTTAAGATATAGTTATTGCAAATCACGAAGTGGCACAAAGAATAATATATTTATAATAATATTAGTTTTATTTTTGGCTAAAAAAAAAAAAAAGTCAATTCAATTACATAAGTCATTATTAGCCTTCATGAAATTATTATCGTCTTAATAAAATATGAACCTCTGCGTATTATTATTACGCGTTATGGTGACTAAGCTCGAGGGCTCCCGGGGGAGCCTCGGCTCGGGCCGTCACGCTATTATTATCACCGGTTTGGGAGGCCGCCAAGCTCTTAGGGCGCTTTGGCGGGCGTTCCATGGAGTGATCAGGCTCAAGGGTCCCCGAGAGGGGACCTCGGCTTGGGCTGTCACTCAGCACGCGTTTAGCATTCCGATTCGAGGGTGCCCGAGAGGGCCGGACCTCGGCGCGATCGGTAGCTATTATCTGACTGGGGGAATTACTAGAGCTAACATTACTACCACTTTGGAGAGCGTTGGCGCTGGGAGAAGAAGTGGCGGAAGAAACTCCAGCAACGCTTCTATCATTAATAGGGGAAAACCTGCCAGGTACGTGGCGGAACCTAGTATATGTTTGCCGCACTCGCCGGCGAGTGCGGTGTGTGTTGGTGTGTTTCTTGAGATTTTTGATCCTTTCGATGGCGATAGTCGTCTCATCGTCAGGGAAGTCGAGAACGTGGCGCGGTCTTCGGTAATCGCGGCGGAAAATATTTAGCGGCAAGGGCCTGTAGGTGACGGCACCTACGATAAGTGGGTTGGGATGCGCGGCGGCGGAATCGAAATATCGGCGCGACGCCGACTTCAGGAATTGCGCGATGGTGGGCAATTCTAGATCGACATGTAGGTCGATATTGCGCATGAACCAGGGTGCTCCCGTGGCTCTGCGCAAGAATCGATTTTGAATCACCTGAAGCCGGTGTATTTGCTTCGGAGCAATGTGAGCGAAGACGGGGCTCGCGTACGTCATGATAGGGCGAACTACTGCCTTATATAAGGTCACCTTGTTCCGAAGGGACATTTTTGACGTTTTATTGAGGAGCGGGTAGAGGCGACCGAGTACGAAGGCCGCCCGGATATTTAATAAAAAGTCCTTGCCTATTTATAGCTACTACGCTCTACTTCTACTCTTCTAACACGGACTCTTAGTGAGGTATTTTTTCAAGGCAAACAAAATCGGTTTGCTTTTTGCAGAGGCCATTGTGTTGAACGTTTTTTTATCGATTATGGTGCGCTTTTTCGTTACCTAGTAGTGATATACATTTATTTCGTTTCATCAAATATTTGTCATAATATACATATATATTTTGTTACTTATATTGTGCATGTTTATTAAATTTGTTTTATATATTTTCTTACCCGTTTGGTATATAATAAACATACATGTATATCGACGCCAGAAAACCTTGCTAACTAACTTGTAATGTTTCTGTGCACCGTCGTCAGCGGCAGACATCGGTCACGAAGTGATGGAACAAACGCCGGCCGCGCGGAAACACAAATCGGGAGACAAAAGTGTGTGTCCGATATCATTTTGATGGTTTTGTGTGTGTGTTTGCACATTTATGTATGTTAGTAGATTTTTCGTTAAAATAATGTTGAGTTGTATTCGACGAACGTCTTCGAAGCATTTGCCGAATCACTTTGCAAAGTATTATATTATACACATTATTTAGGCAGTTAGAGCATGGCTAATTTTATTATTTAAATTAGAGAGGGATTTTTATGGTTAATAGTGTACCAATTACTAGAATTGTGTTTGTAGAGATTTTTTACAGTTCTGAAAAATAAAATCATCAAAATCAATAAAATCTTCATTGATGAACAACATTTTAATTGTGTTGTACCCAACATGAAATCAAATATTATTCTTGAATCGAAATCGCGCAAAGTTTGGATTGACATTATCTTACACTGCGAAATAATGTCTCGTTTTAAAGTTAAAACTTAAAAAATACATTTTCTAGGATCCATTGTGATATTAGCATTATTCCGTTTTATTATTTGATTCTATTTTTAACAGTAGTCATTATATATGAAATACGTGTTAAATATAAATATATTATATTATTACATATTTTATGTACTGTTTTAAGAAATCTTTACACAACAAAAATGCCCTAGTTCATGGATGAGCAACCCGCGGCCCGCGGGCCGCTTGCGGCCCCTTAAACATATTTATGCGGCCCGCCAAGCATTTCTAAAATTGAATTTATTTTATCGAATTTCTCCCATCAATATATTGTTATAAAATTAATTATTATAAAATGGTAGTACATACTGAACCGAAATATTTTTTGTTCGTTTTTCTGTTCTTTTCTTGTTTGTTTTTACATTGCATTAAAATTTGTATATGAAATCTTTACTTTGTTTTAAATTTTATATTTTTTTATTCTAATATGTATTATAAATAAATTTTCGTTAATCATTATGTGCGGCCCGCCAAAAAAAATTGAAATTTAAATTGGCCCATTGATTAAAAAGGTTGCTTACCCCAGGCCCTAGTTGAAAAAGGAAGAGGAATATTGTTATATCTATGGATTTTTATAACTATTTGTCGTGGCAAAATATAATTTATATGCTTTTTTATTGGTCTTATGCCTTAAAATGGAGTGTGTACTAGAACGCATGTTGGGCACGGTTTCTGAAGTTATTTAAGCTCGTCGTTGTGTATTATGATGGATTAAACATATTAAGCAGTAAATTTCATAAAAAAAAACAACTGTTGAAAATTAATGGTACTATTAATCATAAAGTTGAGCTTCTGAATGAGTAAACTAGACCATTTGTTCATTGTAAACTGCTTTTTATAAAGTAGATAATTAATTATAATGTGCTTGTCACTTTTTCTTCTTTTGTCCGAGCGTGTCTGTTATAAAGGCTTGAGTGAAACTATGTGACTTCATCTAGATAGATAATTAAAGCGTTAAGGAAGTTAAAATTACTGTTTTTAGTAAAAAAAAAAATATGTGTAAGGACTTCTTCTAAAAGAAAAAAAGATATCCCCTGTGCCAGTACCATTTTTTTTTTTGCGAAAAAGAGACACTAAATGCAATTATTAACGGTTTAATTTAATAACTTGGAATTATGAGTATATGTCAGAGTTGTTATTGGTTGCCATGGTAATACCGTGAAGTTGGTCAAAATCGCCCGGTCTTCAACCAACTAGTATCGCTTTTTGGCTGTTGTTATGACCGCGCATCGTTAAAAGTTTTAATTTCATATTTTCTCGAAACTGGCCAAAAGAAGTATAACTTATCTACCTATTTAATTATTGATTTAATATATCAGTTTTTTGTTTTACAAATGTATAGAATACCCGTTACTGCTGATGCAATATCTGTGTCAACACACAGTGTTGTTACTCATAAGGGCCAAGGTGAATTCTAAGGGTTAATCCGCAAGCATTGATCAAAACATCCGAGCCAAATGTCGACCGTTTGTTGGGTTTATTTTAAAATTAGCCAAAATTACTTTGAGATATTTAGTTGCAGAGTGCATTAGACAGTCGCAGCTTTGAAACAATCGAAGCATTAATAACTTGTATGTAAATTGTGTAAATGTAGATAATACGCCAAGAATTGCACCACCCGCTAGATAAAAAGAAGCCCTCGCCGTCGCGCCGCGGCTCGGCGGCCGGCGACGGCGGCGGCTCCGGTAGCAAGAGCAGCACCCCGGCGCCTTCGCCCCAACACCCGGCCCCAGAGCCGCCACCGCTACCCAGCGCCAAGGGTAACGACTCCCCAAACATACATCACAACATGTTCCATATGCATTTGATATGATTGAGGCGAGTGAAAGAGATGCATTGGTAGACTTTTTTCATTTGATCTATCACTATCACTACGTAGTATAAAACAAAGTCTTCCCGCTGTCTGTCTGTCCCTATGTATGTTTAGATCTTTGAACAAACTTGAAACTACGCAACGGATCTTGATGCGTTTTTTTTAATAGATTATTGATAGAGTGATTCAAGAGGAAGGTTTATATGTATAATACACTGCACCCGTGCGAGCCGGGGCGGGTCGCTAGTTTCTTATATTTTTCTTTGTGTTTTTATTTTTTTGTAATTTTAATGTTTGAGTTTTTTATTGTCACATGTAACCGGGTGGCCGGGGGAATAAACGAGTTTAAATGTCATTAGGAGCCCCGGCGCCGGTCGTTACGGCGAAGATCCCCCTGCCGGCCGCATCGCCCAGTTCCAGCAAGCAGCCGGAGGCGGCGGGGGCCAGCTCCACGGCAACAGCCACCTCGACGGTGACCTCCGTCAGCGGAACATCTGCCAGGTAACAGACTTAATCGGGATCGCTGCAAACCAAGCGTTGAAGCCAACGGCTCCACCTGGACGCGAACTATATACGTTATAGAACTTTGAAATTATATACGTGAACAAAACACAAAATTGGCTAATTTTGACGTTGGACATTACCTATCGCTGATGTTTACAGAAACGAGGTAATTTATATAAAAACTCGTTATATCTTATAAACACATAAACATAATATGTTATTGTATTTTTATACGCTGTACCAAAATATACATGATAAATAAAGCTGATGCGTACACAACGAGAAACCCCTCTAAATTGTTGATGAATTGGCGATTGGTTCATATGACGCTGTCAGCCGTGAGAACTTAATTCCATCACTTGCTTCTCCACAGCCCTGTGACAAATACATCAATGGCGCCGGCACCAAAGGCGTCGACGTACCAAGAGTCCATGATAGCTAATACAGAGTTGGTCGAGCCGAAACAGACAAAGAAGAGGAAAGCTGTATCGGCGGCGAATACGCCCATTGCTCCTGTTGATTACGCGGCAACCCCTCCACATAACATTGTAAGCCTTAAAAAATCTATGATCTTCTCTTTAGTACTAACAAAAATAATATGCCTGTGAAGTTTTAAAGACTTTACCTAAGGTAGTGACTTGGCAAATTAAGTTAAACATAAATTTATATTACTTAGTACTTACTACAAAATGTAAGAAGTACAAGACTAAACCAAACGTATTTCAATTACATTTACACTAATATCAAATGTTCCTTTTTAATGTGGTTTTTGTACTCGATATAGGTGAACGATGGCAGCTCTCAAGGTGGCAGCCAGGCCTGGGAAAACGCGCACCCATCAGGCGAAATACAATTGGACGTCGTCGACAAGGTCATCAAAAAGGTCAGTGTTGTATATGGTCATGACGCTAACACATCTAACTTGTATCAACAATATCTTTTCAAATTTTGATTATGTATAAAAAGGTTGTAACAGAAAAGGAAGCTATTTGAAAAATCTTGTATGAGCTTTCAAAAGTTTAGAATAAAGTAAGTAAATCAAATATAATAAAATCTTGAAAATCAAACCTCGATAACGTAAAATCTAACAATAACACTTTTTGGTATATGCCAAAAAGTTGTTATTGGTTGCCATAGTGATACCGTAAAGTTGGTGTTGCGTTTAGTTGTCTCATCATCATCATCCGGCCCTCATTCCACCTAGATGTCGGCACAACGTGTGAATCATGTTGCGGTAAACGCGCCATAAGAAGTACAACTTCGGGAATATGAATATTGCGTGCATTACACTAACGATTACACATGAGTATGTAATGTAATCATGGATAAATAATAATAATTAATTTTGGAAAGAAACATTTGCATTTGAAAAGATTTTCACTAATAAACACAAGATTACATTCAATATTATGAAAGAATATGTTCATAGCGTAAGTGCCAACAGCAGAAAAATGACAATTACCCTCCGCGCTAGTAAGAACTGTGTTGCGGCAGAGTAGTATCACCGTCCCGTATTGTCCAATTTAAGTAAGACGTGATTAACATAACGAAGTTGTGGTTTAACAGGTCAATGTCGTATGGTTACTGTTATTAAGTGAAAAAAATAAAATAAAAATGAATGACAGTATATGTTCCCCAGGCGAAGATTGAGGAGCCTCCGATAATGACGGCGCACTTCTCCAGCATGAGCCCCGCGCCACCACCTCCCCCCATGCCGCCCGCACACAGCCCAGCTACGCAGCCCAGTCCCAGGTGCGGCTTCTATTTCAAGTTTTTTTTAACTCGATCGGACATACTTCATGACATATTTCACATCTGCAGATGGTAAAAGAAAGTAGCCTGCTGATTTGTATTTTCCACTGAGATATTATAAAAAAAATCCTTTACTGCTGGAAATATTAACACCGGTATATATATATACACAGGGTGTTTTTTATTGTTTCTACAGTACCGAGTAATAATAGGGAAAACTGGCGGGCATTCTAAGACATTTTTTTTTTTTATACTTCATCAAAACGTTTCTGTGTTTTAGACAGATCTCAAAATTATCCTGACGGATCTTTAATGAAATACTGGTTTCAGCATTTCCTTTTGTAAGCTCTTATTACAATTATAACGTATTTCACGTGATATTCATAAAAAGTTGTTTCACAGGCATCTTCCTAGTCCCATGCCAGGACCAAGTGGTCTAAATACAGCACCCAATATGCGGTCGCCGTCACAACACCAGGTTGGTAGCAGTGATTTTATTTCCTTTTAAACTACCTAAAAAAACTGGATAGGAGAAAAAAAAAAGCCTTAAGTTGAATATTATGAATTGAGACAATAATTAAAGTTGCATGCAGTTTGTCTAAGACTTTATTTTCTTACGACCAAATTGTCTTTAGTGCAGCAATAATACGTAATATATTGTTTATTAATTTTTATCAGTTAAAATAATTCATTTTATTTTTATATTATTTAATTTTACAATATAAGTCATGCTTCTAGCTTAATTTAAACTGGGGCATGTTTAGCTTTATTATGCTTTTATGTTTGGTTTATGTGTAAGTACAGAAATAACTAATCGAAAGACAGAAAGTTTGATTTATCTATAGCGTTTCTTACCAATTTTTTGTTACAGGTCTTGTAGATTTTCTATTAATTTTGTTTTGGGTTTCTGAGTATTTAAATATGCATTTATGGTTATATTTTTATTTTATTTCATTTAGGTTCCATAAATTTTTGTCTGTTTGATACATGTGGCGCTGAACTAACACTTTTTGTTGTCTTTAATATAGATGCTTAAATGTATATAAAAATATAACGTACACACGACATAAATCTTTGGGTAAACAATCATTTTTGAAAATCTCGACCACACATTGGTATACAAATTTCATAATATAAAAAAAAAATACATTTACATTATTCTAAATTTAAAAAAAAAATATAATGAGCTAAAATTATTAAATGTTACTCTGAGATCCGTAGAGTTTTGCGGGGGCGCAATCAAGGGAATTCATACCATGTCCTGAAGCGCTACTTATTTGAGATTCCCTTTTGATCAACAGTTGCTGTGCACACCTTTAGAATTAAAGGGACCTAATTAAGAAACATCATGATTTTCACTTTATATCAGGAAATGACCTAAAACGACTTTTGTCGACTCTTATTAAAACAAGGGCCGGTTTTGGCTCCAATCACCGCGTTTTTTCATAAGTGCACAAATCTCAATTTCACGCTCCCCAAACATTGATATTTTTTTAAATAGGTCATTATAATTCTGAAGGTGCGTGTGCTCAATCATTAACCTCAAGCTCCCCCCGTTGGGAAGATCTCGGTACAACGATACATGCATAGCCTCACTAAAAAGGAGCGCTGGCTTGGCGAGCGACTAATAGAGCGTGGGTTGTGTAGGGCGGGAAGGCCGAGCGCGAGGGGCCCATCTCGCTGCTCGTCTCGGTGCCCTTGCCGTCCACCAGCCACGGCCTCAACCTCACCGCCCACGCGCAGGTTCATGTCCCGGTCGCACACACAACCATGGGCGTCCATGGCTGTCTAAGCGTTGTAGTCGTAGCTGGGAAATGGAAAATAAACGCTGCCTCACATACGGCTTACGCTAGCGCCGCTGCCATCGAGGGATGCCCGTTTGCAAAAAAGATGACATAAAGATACAGTCGAGCGACAAAGATGGTGATAGGCGCGCGATAAAGACGGCGATATTCGCACGAAAATGACGACGATGGTCACGCCATTTATATCCACGTTCATTATTCACAACTCACAAATAACCTTACGAACTGTCAATGTGAACATGAGTTACGTTATGGGACTTGAAAAATGTAGGTTACGTTGATGCATCCGTCGATCGCAGTGCCGCCTGGATTTCCCTTCAACGGCGGGGTCAATCCCTAATATTGGAGTTCTACTGAGTTTCAAGACTTGTATGTAAGGCAATGGACTTAACGTTTCTGGTCCCAAAACTAGCGCCCACAGCGCTTGTCTCTGATTTCTATCGTCTGACATTCGTGCCCCGTATTCGGGGCTAACAAGCTTAGTCAAATTACACATCTCTATCTTCTTTCCCTTTTGGTTTAAGCTTGTTTTGAATTCTATAGATTTCATTGCCTATTGTCTTCGATAGCACTGGCTATCGTTGTCTAGTTCTAAGTGTAAGAAAAGAAACCTGAAGAAAAGGTTTATAGTAACGACTAGCGCGGGATACTTTTGAAACTTTTAAATTTCGAAAATTTCGAAACTTATTTACGTAATAAAAACTATACAGTCCTCATCTTATTTCACATCACGCTGTGGGAGAAAATGTAACTAACAGACATTGTGCTTACCAACCACTTACGATAAAAGAATAAAAAAATTATGTGAGCCACGAAATATAAAGTTTATATTTTGTGTATAAATTCAAATTCCCTTTGTTGTTTTGTAATTTTCTACGCTATGTTCCCGCCGATCGAGTTGTGTGTGCAACCAAGTTTAATGCTTAACATAAAAGGTAATAGATAACTAACTTTTCCGGTCAAGGTGGAAATCACATCAAATACGCAATGGTTGGCGGTTTCATGTAAAACATAACATGAAGGCGTGTTTTGCCTTGTAAATATTGTTTTTAATTTTCGAGTGCCTACTTCTTTCATGAATTTAAAAATCTCTTTGGTGTGATTTCACGCATTTAAATCATTGATTCATGTAGACAGTGAACCCTATCTTCGGCGCGTACATACTGAAGCACCGTTAAATTATACTTCTTCGACTTACTTGGCCCGTGGTGCATGTAAATAACTCTTAAGAAGTTATATACAATAAAATAATTGTACTTAAAGGCTCTATCGGTTTTAAGTGTGAACGTGTTTTATATATATGTTTGTTATAAAATTAAATCGTCTGAAGGAGTATAATTAAAAGCATGCTTTATTATAAACGAAAAGGCAACATTTAGCTATGATACTTGCCCTTATAGCGATGGAGGAATCATCACAACAATAAAGACACGTGGTGTTGCATGTAACGTCTAATTAATTATTGAAGTAGCAAATTACGTTGTGCGTATCACGAGGGTCGCTAATTATGGTTTACGTTTAGGTGCCAATGCCACCGGACATGCCCGGAACCTCTCAGCACATATTTCATCAGCCTCAAAAACAGGTGAGAGTTGAAACTATTACGATATGTGTTTTTTCATTCTGATGGCCATTTGAATCTCGCGGGATATCTTTTGTACCAATAAGTTCGCTATTAGTACCAATAACAATTGCCGTACCATTGTTCAATTGAATCGCCGCATCAGTTTCAGCATTAACTAAGTACGGGCGACTGATATCATGAGCTATATGAATTATTTCTGTTTGGATTTGCAGACAATAACTAATTAAGTAAGCATTGTCTTAATTGTGTTGCTGCCTTACTAAATTCGAATTTAGTAAGGAATTAAACGGTTTTGTCGAAAATGTAACATTTTTTTTTTAATAAGTGAATCCAAAACTTATTTGGATACCTACTTAGGTATTTGACCTTCCTGTGCATAACATATGCGATTTTAAAACAGCTTCATAATAAACACGTAAAATGAAAACATTTAATAGCATTTAATTAATGACACTAATAAATATTTCAGTTACAATTATAACGAATTTAGTTGATATATGTCAATTTAAACGACACTAAACTGAAGTATTAATCTATTAATATTATTATTAAAGATATTACCTTAACGCCTAATTTCTGAAAACTGATTATTGTAGAAATTAATTAATCAGCTGTCAAATGGCTTGTCAAATGTCATTTGAATTGCCAAAAAGATGGTTAAACTCTTTGGATCAATCGTCAATCATCATTTCTGATCAGTTTAAAGAGTTAATTCATCGTTCAACTCAAATGACATTTGACAGCTGATTAGTTAATTTCTACGATGAGCAGCATTTCAGAAACCGGCGTTTCTGCATCAGAAAATAACCCGTTGAATGTAAACGTACATTAGGTACAAAACTTTTTGTATTTTTGAAACAACCAGGTTAACCATGTAATTTATTGCACAAGTTTATGTTTAGTATTATTGTTTTTGTTAAATAGAATAAAACATACAACGACAAACAATGACATTAACACAATATCTAAAGCATGCTTGTGAATATATAGAAATTGAAGAATTGCCTTCCTTTAATCATGTCGTACTGCTACTATTATTTTCGGAGCACGCATTGATAGCTTTATCGCATATTCGATGAAGCCGCAAATACCGTACACGCGTACGGCGCAGTTATGTTGTGACTGGTAGAGTTATCGTCCTTATTTGCTAGATATGCCATCGCCCTAAATGCTGATGTTTGATCATCTTATCTTGTCAGGTAAGTGAAACTTCCCACTATGCTCGGATTCCTAATAACCGTAATATTTATGTTTCTTAAATTTTTAAATTAGGCGACGCAGGTCACCACCAATTCTAGCGAACATGTAAGTGTCCAATAATATAGTACTTACCAAAACTAGAAAGTCGTGGTCAAAATTGAAATTTCTTTATTCAACTTTAATTTGTATTGAATAAATTAACGCCCGTTTTATAATTTATATCAGTTCAGACCTAAACCGCCTGTTGTACATATGTTTATAATCTTATTGTTTTTTGAATATCATATGTTTCCATCATTATAAGTAATAATAATGAGAAGAATCAGCAGTAGCCAGATGATATACTACTGCAAAATCTCGTTCTTTAGCATATTGTTCTACATCATAATAAGCACTTCCCGTTGAGATTTTTTTTGCAAGCTTTATTTCATGCTCGATTAATTGCTTCTATTATTAGATGCCACCAACACCTTCAATTTAATTCGTATAATACAAAAATTATAACTAATTTTTGGTTCCATGATTCTGAGCAGTTTATAAAGCTTCAAATTGTACATTATCGAAGAATATATATGCTAATATTTATGTATTTTATTATATAAGTATTTCTTGGTACCCATCATAGCGATTTATTTGGACAGGAAAAAATATTTGGCAAACACAAGTATAGGCACAGTTTCCTCATGGAAGTATTATTTGTGTTCATTTGCATTTACGGTCACTTCATTCGTTTATGTTTCCCTATTGTTGTAATTTCCTGCGCGCGTATTTCATCCCAATTAGCGATATAATAATTTCCATCTATTCCCCCTAACTGATGAACTTATATCGAATCACCGCTCACATGAATTTCTCGAAACATTATTCGTTTTGTTTTTTATACGTTTCTATAATAAATCTTATTCTTCTGTGCGTGTGTAAGTGACTGAACACCTAAACTGCTGGATCGATTTTGATGAAATGAAATCAAGTGGATTCGAGTTAACAGAATGTTTTTTTTAATTTGGTATTTTTTATTTATAAATTGTCTGTATATACATTTTTATAAATGCCGTCTCACCTTCAACGCCTTCCCCCATAGGACAGGCTGCGCCTAGTGTGGGGGTTAGTATTGTATCAATTGTAAACCTACATACATTAATAAATATTTTTCATTTTTTTCATATAGAAGTGGACTAACATGCGATTACAAGAGATGTCCACGATCATCGAGCATTTCTTTCGCATTAAAACATCAACTGGATTTCTTTCCGCTTCAAAAGGCGTAATGTTTTACAACCGAACATTATCAAGACAGTGCATTTTTTTGCGTTGTACAAATACTTAGTGGACTATTTTCCTGGAAGTAGGGTCTTGTCAATCGTAGCGAGATCACCCTAGCGAAGTTAAACATTGCGATTTTGTACCTGCTCCCCATCCCCTGGACTACCTGCCCTGTGCCGGCGCATCAAGTTGGATTTGACATGTGCGCGCCATTCAGTACGTTCGCGACACCCGTCCGATGAACATCTGCTGATGTCCTGTTCATCGCGCATACATTACGACACGGTCAAATTGCGTCAATGATAAATCTTATCGTACAATTTACCCGGGCACATTCTATAAGTAATGCATTAACCGTAAAAGTTGAATAAATTGCACTAATGATACTGAAATGTTGCATTGAACGAAACTCCCCCACTTCGTGGTCCTGTAAAATGGTAAGTTGGTATTATTTCCACGTTATCATAGCCAACGTTCGTCCGCACAGTCACATCCCGCGCACATTTGGCAAATAATTGCTACTCAAATGACTCGCACGTGTTGTTTTATTTTATTAGTAATCATTTTTCAGTTACATTATATTATGTATTTTTTTATTTCTCTTTTCTTGTCGCATACTTAATTTATACTTGTATCAGTGTAACTATTTTTATTAAAATGTTAATAATATTTTCTATAACTATGGGATGTTCCTAATGTTTCCCTTGGCTACATTTCTGGCTATGATGTGTGTAGTTGCAATCTGTATTATTACCTTGAACGAACGTAACAGACCGGTCAAAAGATCCAGATGTAGGAATCGCATTTATGATTTCATACCCGTACTTAGGGGAGGCCTTCCCCTAGCATACCCTATAATGCTAAAATTTGAATAACAACCACATCTATCATTCCTTTAACCTACATATAACTATAGAGTATACATTTTTGTCGCATCCGTTCGTTTTGCTCCGTCTCATTTAATTGGCTTTCCTATTTTAATATTTCTCATTTTTACGATTATTGAGATTGAAAATAAGTAAGACTAATTAATTATAATTAATTATTATACTTCATGATTCTACTCCAGATTATCAGATAGTTAGCACGGAAAAGAGGCTTATCACCCACGGAATGGACTTAATCAGTCACAAATAGTCATTCTCTAGCTCATAATTCAACACTTAGGGTGACAAAATGTTTGGGGAGTATTAGACGTTTGATTGAGACGTAAGACAAGATTGTAGTTCTATAAATGCATCCCAAATTGAAGCAATGGCTAAAGTAACCGTGAACATTGTGCTTGCTGCAGTCGACAACTGGATTTCGAGGTTGATGGCCCGTATTCAAAATCGTAGAGACCATTTCGAATTACTAATAATACTTTAAATTACTATTCCCTACTTTTGACACAGCTACCGCGTTGTGGTTGTAATTTTGTTATTATTCATAGTACTCGTCACTTAGGCCTCCATGGAGCAGAGCGTCCCGGTCCATTCTCCGCATGGTGTTCCCGGTCGGTCCCCATGGGGAGGTCTCAACGTTACCTACGAGATGCAGGACCCCAACAAAGCTGGGTAAGATATTTTGTACCGTATTTTATCAACGATAAGGTTTTAAAAACTTTGATTTGTAAACAACTGTTAAGATACCTACAAGAACATCTTTATATATAAAAATAAGGCTTGCAATTTTGTTTTATTTATTGTTTTGCATAATTATTATTCTAAAATACACCTTCGTCTTGAATCACTCTATCTAGTAAAAAAACCGCATCAAGATCCGTTGCCTGTTAAAGATCTAAGCATACATTGGGACAGACAGACAGACAGCGGACTTTGTTTTATTCTATGTAATGACGAAACTACTCAAGAATAACTACAGTTCTTTTTACATTTATGATTATTATTGTATTTCTGTCGTCGTGTCGTTCATCTGTTGCATTAAAGTATTGAAATTATTAAGACCCGATAAAAAAATTAAAACTTGAAATGTACATGACGACCTAAAACCAGATAGCGGCCCAATGTTGTATATAGTTCTCTTAAGATAACTGATAATATTTTTCTATTCCTAATTTTTGCTATGCTTTTCTCATTGCGACTGTATTTTTCATTTTGTTTATTCCATTTCTAAACTTTTTTGTGTGACATTAGTTTTATGCTTTTTTACTTTTTGGTTTGCAGAGTGTTTTTGAACGTAATTTCTAGCCTGAGCCACTGCTTTTTTATAGTGTCTTTGTTGATAAAGTTGATCAACATGTCAACAAAAGTTGTTGATCTATCTGTTGTTTGTATTTTGGTCCTAGTAAAGGATTGAGGAATGGCAAATATATATATCTATATAATATACATTTTTGCAATAGCGAATTCGAAAGTCTTTAACATTTTTAAAGTTGAAGTAGTATTAATTAAGCTATACAGAGATAAGCTTCCGTTTATTGCCTGTTCACTCATGTACCTTAAATCTTAAACTTACAAATTAACATATCCTTAGACAAAACTTGAAAAGAAGTTATTTTTAATTAAAATAAGTGTGTTATAATAATACACAGACGTAATATGACTTATTTAAGATAGGTATGGGCTGTATTATGTATATTACGAAAATGAAATTCAATAAGTAAATATAAGTAATTGCAATTATTAAGAACGTTCATATCTATTTCGGCTTTACATAATTTTCTTCTTATTTTGTAGCCGAGCGCTATTCTCTTGACCTTGGGAACGTACGCAGCGTGAACTTGACTGTTTACTTTGTTTCCGGCACAGCATCAGCGGCATAGCCAGCACAAGCAAGGATGTGAACGCGATGGTGCCGATGCCCCCGGCCACCATCAGGAACAAGAAGAGGGCCGCGGTGTCGACGGTTGTCTCAATGGGTGCGGCACCGCCACCTTCGTCTATGCGTGAGCCCCTTTATAATCCGCCTTCCCAATCTCCATCCAGCAGTGTACTCTCATTCGGGATCGGACGTATTGTATATCGTATTTTACGTTGAAGACTGCCACCTAGAAAGATCTGTTGTAGTCTTCTCTCCGAAAACATTGCCTGCTTACTGTAGGATTATATTTGCTGTGCCGTGCTGTAAGGACATTTTACATAATATTAATTTCAAGTGGCCCAACACCCAGATCCGAATCAACTATCTGTGGGCCACATAAACAGTTTTCTCGTGTGGAAATCGAACCCACGGACCCCGGGATCGAAGCTGCGCCACGGAGTGATGGACTTTACTTTAATGCTACATCTATGTTAGGGTGTAACCATTCAACCATAAACTACATGGATAAAATGCATGGTGCAAGTGGCAAGTGCGCTGTAACTACTGTACGGAAATGTCTCGTCGTTATCGGAGAGCACCCAATCCACAAGGACACTGATGAAGACTGCCCCTTGAGCGCATGACACCCATTTTCGAGCTGGACCTGACTGCTTACTTGCGGCAAAAGCCTTCTCTAGAGGCCCAATGGTCTTGCTGGCTTTTATTACTTTATCCATTTAAGATACAGCTGAATTGCTAATAATAATACATGTACATTTAATAATCGATTTTATAAGTCATTAATTTCATAAACGCCCAGTGACAAGTTCATAAGATTGCATAAATTTTTTTCGTATTGTACATATAAATTAATGTATGAACATACATTCGATAGCTACTTTTCTTCCCATTAGGGGAATAGTTCTATATGTGCGTATTCTAACAAAACGACACTCATCATTTACATTCCAATGTGTGATGAGTGTATATTAAATACGAATTTAATGAGTATAGTGATATTTGCGTATATTATAAATATATATTTCTTCACAGAGACATCTTCGCAGAGCCTTGCGAATGTGCGTCGACCTCCGCAACCAACGCCGCCACCTATGTATCAAGAAATCAAAGACTCTCCGCCAAGTTCTCCAGGTAAGTGTGATTTTTAAAGAGTGTAAGTTTGACTGAACAAACAAGAACCGGGGTACTTATTCGAAATAAGTAGAGTAAAGAGTGAAAAAATACGTGAAAAAATACGTGAAAAAACATATTACCGAACTTATACGGCAATTTGTATTTTAAGACGATAATTTAAAAAAGAAAGGACCATCTGAATTGATGATTTTTAGTCGAACCGAAAGGTATTATGGAATTTTTAAAGCAATACTGCAGGAGTATTATAAGTTTCGCTTTAAAGTTTATTAGTTGTAGTAAGTATGAATGTAAGGAGTGTAATGTATAATATAGTACGGCTTATGTAAGTGATAAACTGAGAATCCTGGAGTTATTTTTAAGTTCTCTTTTTTGTTTCATGTTAACCTAAATACGTTGTACTACATTCTGCTTCTGTTATTTTTTAACGTGGAAAGAAGTGAGAAAATTGAAGGGTAGCAAAAATGAGTAAAAGTTTTATAAGGACACCGTTGCTTTTTGGACGTGGTGGTGCCCCCATGTATATGTTACACCTATTGATACGCATATTGTAAGGGCAACGGAAACTTTTTCTCACTCTTCCGCGACTCTGCCAGCGCTGGCGATCTCAGAGCAGCCCCAGCAGTAAGGCACCCTGGAACATTTAGCGTGCCTTCCTACTCAGCCCACCTCTCACGACCTACGAACTCCCCCGTGTTCGCTTACCGGAGACCATGGGCTCCAGGCTGGAGAGCCAGCGCTCATAAGCAAGAAGGCATTTAGCCTCTAGCGATGGACCGAGGCTGTGCCTCCGCCGCTCATTACGTTTAGGCCGCGGAGAGTAGAGAGAACGGCGTGTCGTAATACCGACTCTCTTTTCACCCCGTGGTCGCACCACTACTCCATCAACGGTGCATTCCCACTGAGTCGCGGAGGATGGGGAGGGCGGCCAAACGCAATAACGACACTTCTCTTCCCCCACAATTCCACTTCAGTAGCTGAAGACAAGGAGAGTGGCTCCTCTTCTACCACCCTCGAATGTTCCCAGCACCCTCCCAGCGCGCATCTAGAGTGGGCTCAGTGAGCCCACTCGGAGCGGAGTTTTATACCGAAGGCCAACAGCGTGGGTTCCCCTTGGCTTCACCGTACGTGACCAAGCCACGGTTACTAAATTCCTCCGTCACGACAAGATGGTAACCCGATCGGAGGGGAGATGGGCATTACCCTGAAAAAGAAGAATTTTATAATTCATCACTGAGGGATGGATCCATTTATAATAACTTCTCTGACATGAGTAATTTGTTTTCAGGTTCTGAAAGACCGTTGAAGCCCAAGATGGAGCACAAGTAAATATTTTATTTATAAGTATTCTATCCAATTGTAAAGTGCCAACAGATCCATTGTTCGAAGATCTTTACAAACGCTACACTGAAATCTAGACCCAATACAAATCCTTAAATACTATTGTTCACGCATAAAACATCCTGCAGCTTCAGCCGCCAAACGAATGCGCGGTGACGCAATGTCTTACGTCATCCGCGCATCTTGTCGCGTTCTATGAGAGAAGATGGACTGACTGTCTATATTGACGCAGCCGCATGGGTGCGAGCTGCACGGCGCCGCACATGCTGGGCAACGAGCTGAACCCGGAGAGCGGGGCCGCGGCCCGGCTGCAGGAGCAGCTCAGCGCTGAGCTGGCGGCGCACGCGGCCGGCGCCTCCGGCCTGGACCCGCTGGTGCCGCCGCCCCTCATCAACAAGGCAGCGGCCGTTAGTATCCGCGCATTCTCACGGACACCGTCATTACACCCTGTTTGAGCAAAGATATAGATTTATACATAAATATAAGGTAGATTTCACTCTAGCGCACCTAAATTGAGGCGCTCTAATTACACCAATCGCTGCGATTAGATTGCAATTCTATAGACTGCTATCTCTTTCTATATCATACGTTCTATGTCTCGGTCACATTCAATTATATAATTATGTCATATAATGCATGGACATGCGTCATATATGTTATTAAACATCATTGTGTCCTCCCCCACATACTGCCACGAAGTACCCTCTTGGGCCACCGGCATACATTGACTTTCCGCACATTTGTACTCACATATTTAGTTCCTTGTTTTATAAATTAGATCCGCCTATGTGCAACAGCGCAAACCGAAGGCTAAAACTAAAATTAGGTCCCGCAACTCTAGGTTTTCACGTGGGTCTAATAGAGGAGACATTCCCTAAATTCTGTGGAGTTACAAAGCCTGTAAGACGTTGGTGAGTGCGTTATAATAAGTACACACGAGTATTGCATACATAATAGAATAACATGACTTTCAACAAATAAATTACACAGTCCCGAATTATATATACCTATTATAGTACGGCTAATGGGCCTTTATGGATTATTAAAATAGATTGAAATTAGCGAACCCATTTGCTGATGTTAACCTTAGTACTCTAGTAAAATGTATCTGTAATTGTTTTTTTTTGAAGTTCCAATTGCAGAGTACGAGCAGCGGTTGCCGCAGCGGGACATCGAGTGCGCAGAGCCTCGACCAACTACTGGAGAGGCAATGGGAGCAAGGCTCTCAGTTCCTCATGGAGCAGGCACAACACTTTGACAGTTAGTACAGTCACATGCACTCAATAATATAGGGTGATAAAATTGAACGAAACTATACCTTAGGGCATTAAAGTTAACATGAAAAGAAGAAAATATGAATATATACATCGTTCAGTTTTCTATGAAAGACGTACAATTTGCGGGGTCATTAACCGCTGGTAACAAGTTTTTTGAAACGGACATTCACTAAAGACTATAAGTTATGCGCATGTTAGTCAAATAGTGGTTTGAATACATGTGCTAGCCTAATACATGTGTGATATACAGCGTGTCGTTACCATCGCGACAATAAATGAACACACATATAGGGGATAACTTTTTAAAGTTGTATTAAACATTTACATTCTTTATACATCAATATTTATAGAGTTATTAAATTTTCCAAAACAAAGAATTTTAGAACACCCTTACCTATAAAAGCGTAACGTAAAGTTCATTTGTAAAAGTCACAATGCATATGAATGGGTTGAATCAATTTAAAAGAGACAAAACATACTGTTAGAAGGAGAGGCTTGTAATGCGACGCTGTGGCGCGAGTTGTATAGGATGTTACAAATTTTGTTACTTTTTTACTTAATTAGTTTGTTTGAAAAATATTTTTTTTAATTATGGATTTTGTTTAATGTTAATATTTTTTTATGATTATTGGCAAATAGCGTTAGACGTGGGTTCATTTATTGTCGCGATGGTAACGACATGCTGTATATTTAGAGGTCTCACGTTATTATGTGTCTCCGAAGTCGCATCGCTGCTATCGTGCCTGCACCAGCTGCGTACGGAGAACGTGCGCCTGGAGGAGCACGTTGGCAACCTGCTCCAGCGGCGAGACCACCTGTTGGCGGTCAACGCCAGGCTCGCTATACCACTGACGACCGGTATGATGCCGATTGGACCTCATTCCCCAAACATACAACTATACTAGCTGGCCCGCGCAACTTCGCCTGCGCCAATTCCACCGGGTCCGTGCGTTCCTACTTTCAGCATAGCGCCATCAACCGGATACTTTCTCAATCCAGCCGATAAATTTATCTGAATGACTAAGATGAATAAGAATGATCTATCACAATGACAAAACGATAACGTAACATTAAGAATTATTTATCATAAAATTTTACATATTAGGAAGCCGCAAGAATTGACCTATTTTTTCTATTTCTTTTAGTAGCTGCTATGGAATCAGGTAAAAGTCAAATCTATTTAAATCAATATATGTAACCTTATTCCATCTTCTTTAACTTATGAGTTCTTCAAATATACCTCTTACCTCTCACCTATACCTATATGTATAGAATATTTATTATATTCAGATTATGCAAAAAAGTATTTTATCCGATAAGTACATTTTTATTTAAAAAAAAGTCCAAACCACTTCAAGTATATTGTCACTATACATTTTCTAATTGGTTTTGTGGAATTCTCTGATTTATCTCCATAGACCAAATACTTAAGAAATTAGTATGGGGCCAACATGGGAGCTAAACCGTCCAATCCAATGTTAAAATAATATTTAAAATCAATTCATAAATGAGAGTTCTGAGGTAAAAAATATAAGAACAATAGACCCGATTTAGAACTGGCCTTCATTTTAAATTCAATAATAAAAACACAATCGCTACCAGTCAATCTATGTAGGTTAATCATTGCCAGTTAATTTTCGTCGTTAAAATTTTTTTGTAATTATACTATCATTGATCCAAATCTAAAAAAGTTTTCAATTTATTAACTATGCAGTAGCCATATTAGATGCCAAATACTTAACAGTTGACTGGCAAAGGATGACAACAACAGTTAACAAACAATATTTAGATTTTTTAATGTTCGCTCCATTGTCTACAACATTGCTACGAAATTTCACTAAAAACTAACAATTGAGGTTTAATTAAGGTTTACTCTTTTCTAGGTTGCATGGAACCAGGTAATAAATCAAATACAAATTTAATATAAATATATCTCTATATCACCGATATACAAACATGATGATAATTAACGTATAATATGTTGATTGCAGTAACACTCAGATTAAGCCTTTTTACCAATAAGCTATATGAAGGTCCAGTAACTAACAAACTTCAATCAAAAACTTCCGTCTAAATGGCAAGCGGTTAACAACACGTCATTTTTTTAAAGCACTCTCAAATCGTTACTCATTATAAAACTCCTTAGATAAATATACCAAATGTGAAGATTGACACCTACCTTTTTTCGTTTGCTAGGTTGCACGGAACCAGGTAATAATCAAAATCAAATTAAATCTATATATCTCCATATCACTGAAAATCCAAACTTGAATCTAATTAATAATATGTACGGAGTAACACTCTTTAGCCAATGTTTGTCAAACAGTTGCTTAGAACTAAATTGCAAGCGAGTTTACAAAACTAATTTCGTAACTAATCTTTAGGAAAATTTACTAAGTGTAAAGATTGACAGAGCTTTTTTTCGTTTGCTTTTTTTAGGTTGCATGGAATCAGGTAATGCATCAAAATAAAATTAATTCTATATATCTGTATAGCACTGATATACAATCATAACGATAATTAACATTTATATGTACGTAGTAACACTGATAATAATTCTTTAACCAATGAGCTATATGAAAACGCAATAACTAACAACGTTGAAGTACGTTCATCAAATAGTTGCTTAGAACTAAATTGCAAACGGATTAACAATCCTTCTTTTTGATAAAACGCCATCGGTTCGTTACTCATTATTTAAATCCTTAGGTAAATATACTAAATGTTATGATTGACAAAGCTTTTTTTTCCGTTTGCTTTTTTTAGGTTGCATGGAACCAGGTAATAAATCAAAATATATATTTGATGAATCATGACGCTAATATAACATAATATAATATATGTATGCGGTAACACCCTGAATAAGTCTAACCAATAAGATATACGAAAGCCCAATAACAAACTTCTATCAAACAGTTGCTTAGTACTAAATGGCTAGCGGGATAACAACACTTAATATTTTAATAACCTCCCATGTCGCTACTCATTATTTAAATCCTTAGCTAAATGTACTATATATAAAGATTGATCTATGTTTTTCCGTTTGCTAGGATGCATGGAAACAGGTAAACAAGAAATGAAATTTATCAGTTTTTTTTAAAGTTATACTTCTATTGGCGTGTTGGGAATGTAATTAGTTTATTTTTAGTGTCGCTTAACATTTATTAGAATGCAAATAAAAAATATCTCAATTACGCCAAAGAAGTACAACTTTTACGGTGCGTACGTAAAAGTTTACGCCAGGTTTTTTGCACTAATATATTGTACGGGGCGCGAACACATTGACAAGTCGATGGATACATTTCAGGGCAGCCGTTTAATATATATGCCTTGTTAAATTCAGTTTTAAATTGTATTAACTATTGAATAATATTGTTCTTCAAAATTTAATATAATTAAATTAATCAGCAAATCATTCAAAGTAATCAGTAAAATGAGTTTTATACAAAGATTTTCATCATAATAGGTAGGTACTTAAAATTATTTATTGATAATCAAGTTTTCCACGACATGTTAATTTATTCACGTCCTTAATCCTTTGTTAGCTCTAACACTTGTACATGTAACATAAAAAATTGTTTGCTTTTTAATATATTTTTAATCTTTTCATAACCATAACTTCATTAAGCTAACTCTCACCCACATTTTTCAAATTTTAGGACATTGCACTAATCATAACCATTAACCTAGCTTTTCTCTTATTGTAGCTGATATGGAAGAAGGTAATGAATTAAAAACAAATTTCATTAATATAACTTATAGCACTAACATTCATTCAAGGGCGGTGAAAATGTTAACAAGTCGAAAATGGTTGCTTACTGTAAAACGGTCGGTTTTAAGTATAATCTTGTTAACATATATTTAATATATATGTATAGTTTTATTTACTTTACAAATTAAACAATTTTAATGTATAATGTAAGCCAAATAAGCTAATGTATTAATAAAAATTGGCATGTCAAATGTTTCACCAGAAGACTTGTTAATTGAATCACCTCCTCACCTCAAATGGCTTTAACAGGTTGTAAATATCGCTTATAACATGTCATTTTACCTTTTTAACAAAATTCATAGATATAAATTTGCTTTCTTGTAAATCATGATTTTTAATAGCATAACCCTTGATTGTGCCTTTGTGTCGTCAAACGCTTACAAATTTCACTAATCATAATCATTGACCTAGATTTTCCCCTTTGTAGCTGCTATGGAATCTGGTAATAAATCACACTCGAATTAATCTTTATTCCACTAATCCTCCCTTATGCGAGCCGTGAAAACGTTACAAGTCGATAATTATTGTCCATAATATATTCACAGCAGCTGATTTTAATTCAACGTAAATGTAATCCAAACTAGATAACGATAACATTTGACAGTTGTCGTATGAAATTGAATGTTTTGACTTGTTAATTGATTCACGCCTTGCGGGTTCACTTAGATTTAGAGATTAAAACTTTGTTTCCTTTTTATAAATTTCTCATCCACGTATTTCAACTGATAAGAAATTGCACTAAAAATAAGCATTGATATAGTTTTCCTTTTTGTAGCTGCTATGGAAACCGGTAATAATTCACAATTGTATTTTATAGATCTTTTTTATTTAATTTATTACTCCTTATAATATCATTATTAATAAAGAAACACTCGTATTGCCTATGCGCATATAATTGTATATGCATACAGGCCCCAAATACATTGAAAAGGTGAAAATGATGGTAATTTTAGGAGGCAGGCCGTTTTGTAGCTTACATTTAATCAATTTAAACGTAATTTTCATTTAAACTAAGAATGCTCTAACTTATGGAAAGTGCTCTCAATCGCATATATTTAAACAAATGTTAGTATAAACTGTATTGTTTTATAAATAAGTTTTTGCACTTATACTCCCTTGGCGCATTCATGAAAACTTTAGTTTTTTTTTGCATTGGTGAAAACTTGGATTTTCTTCGACACGCTCTCGAGGCGATATGGATTACCACCCTGAAAACATACCCTGAGACTAAAGAAAGATTTATCGACTATTTTCATGGTGTTATTTAATGTTTCCGCTGAACTTCATGGTGTTATTTCATGTCGCCGACTAACTTCATGGTGCTAATTTCAAGTTTAAAGTAGTAAAGGTCCTTACGTGCGTCATTTTTTTAATCGTACCATCGTTGTGTATCATTCAGGTATTTGAACTGCTAAAAAATTGCACTTATCATAAGCATTGAAATACCATTTCTGTTTTTGTAGCTGCTATGGAATCCGGTAATTCATCACAATCCAATTTAATATAATTTTATTGTGTTCATATATCCGTAAATGCCATGACTATGTTGACAAGTCGTAGATAATCTATATAATTGCTGGCTGCCTAACATATTTTAAATTTATTATTAAATCCATCAAAGTAATGAAGATTACTTAAGAATTTTATTAATTATATTTATCAAGATGTCATTAGACGACTTGTTAATTGATTCACGCCTTTAAGGCTTAAAAACTTCAATGGCTTACGGAAAATGTCAGTCTTCTTTCTCTCAAATTTTTTTATATAAATATTAAAATAATTGCGACAAAATAATTTTTAGATTTCAATTCCTAGTGCTTGAAAATGTAATCAGACAAAGGAAATAAAAGTCCAGAGATCGCATATCCACTTTTCTATCTTTGCAATTGGTTTTATCTTACGTGAGATTAGTGAGTAAAATAAACAATAACAAAAACACCTCCACCCCAAAAATAATTCACAATCCCAATACCCACACCCATCTATTTTAACGCCTAGTATATGCACGATCATTACAATTGCATTCATCTGTTTTTTCTCTCTTTTAGCTACTATGGAAAATGGTAAAAATACATAATTTCTTTTTGTTTCACTATTATATCATTACGCGTATACGTTGATAAGTCAACATGGTGCTGATTTCAGGGTTGCCGATTATAAGTTGACATTTGAAGTTAAGCAAGTTTTTTTTAATTTAAATTTTCAGATATGTTGTACGAATAATAATGCGTAATGGTATAATTTAAAACCGAGATTTCAGGTTTTTCACCGGATAATTTGTTAACTGACGCATGCCATGATTGTTTTTAATATTCAAATGGCTTTTGCACAATTAAATGGCACCCTCGCTCACATTTAAATAATTAATCGATGTACCTTTGTTTGCTCTTGTATATAAAAGTGTTTGTTGTGTCTCATCAAGTTATTTCAACTGCTAATAAATTGCGCTAATCACAATCATTGACTAGATTTTCTCTTTTTGTAGCTGCTATGGAAACCGGTAATAAATGAAAATCGAATTAATACATATTACTAGCACCCGTAGATCAGTTCAAGGAGTGAATGCATGGACAAGTCGCTAATACCAACCCCCTATTATTAACCCCTTATTATTAAGCTCTCTTAACTTTTAAATGTTCTTGTAATTTTTTTAACAATTATAACCTACTTAGAATCAGTTTTACCTTATTAGTAATTTAATAAAATGGTCGTTAAAATCATACCATCAACAACATGATTCACATTTTGTGATCTTGGTGGTTGGGACCCGACCACGGAGAAAAAAGGATAATACAATCTACTTACAATATATCATCTTTAATTTAACACGATTATCAGCTGTTTTACCGGACTTGTTTAACCACCCAAAAGTATTACAATCGTAAAGTATTGCAGCTATTACGAAGGAAAAATGTCATATCAGCTTTCTTTAAAAATGTGTGGAGTTGTGAAGTAGAACTTTGTTTGCTTTGTAAAAAAAATATTTTGTGCTTTCTTTCAAATTAATAATTTCTTTAGGCTAATTCTCATTCAGCACATTTATTTTAGCTTCTATTGCAGTATCACCTATTTTAATGAGCATGAGTTGTCTACTTTTATTATAATATTTAGTATTTAGCTTTTTACATAGTATATTTTTAATCAATTTTATTCATATCTTTAAACATACCCTATCTATTCACTTAACTAAAACGTAATGAAGTTATTGAAGATCTCTTAGATCGTTTATTGTTAGGCGATGAAAACTTGTCTAGACCTCTAAAACTAGCTTGCTGAGGCCGGGCTATCGGAAATCACTGGACGCTAACACTAACTTACACATAAACAAAAAATAACAACAACACAATTATTAAAATCAACAAAACTATTATTATACAGGTAGTATTGTTTAATTTATGTACTACATATTTTTTTGTTAATTTAAAAATTAAATACTATTAAAAATAATAAACATTTTATCAAACAATATTGTGGAATTTAGTTTTAGATCATGATGATCTCATTTATAGTTGTTTTAAGAAAAAAGTCATGAAAAGAAGTATTTTACACCAAAATTATGAACAAATTTTACTTGAAATTAAAATATAATGTATGTTAAGTACCTGGTATGTTTGTATATTTGCGTGTGTGTGTGTGGGTGTTTGTGTGCAGACTTTAGTTTTTGAAAGTAAAAGAATTGAAAGTACCGATAGTGTTTTTTTTTTCTTTCCGTTTTTGTGTGTAGATGCGATTAGCATTGGGTTCGTTTGGATGCGGTATAAATTACATTAGCCGATGTCAATTGAAATGTCCACACACAACAGTTGATGTAAGGCCGTTTGCGCGTGCAGTGACCGCGGGCCCGTCGGACCCGAGCCGCTGCCCGCGCGAGGGCGTTCCGCAGATGCGCGCCACGCCGGGGCCCGTGCGCCCCAACGAGACGATCACATCTGAGAGATCTCACCAGGTACCTATTGGTCCATCGTCATTGTCCTCCCAGGCGTCTTATCGCTCGCGTCGCTAGTAAATCTGCCTACTAACAGCCAGCATACTAACAGGATTTTTTTTAATGTGCCAAGTTGCCAAGCGAGCAGACGGTTCACCTGATGTTAAGTGAATACCGCCGCGCATGGACATCTGTTTCACCCGAGGGTGCCAGATGCGTTGACAACCTTTTGAAAATTGGGCTCCGGCCACCTCACTCATCAGACGAAATGCGAAAGTATTATAATTCGACTTTACGCCGGTCTTCTGTGAGGTCATGGTACATGATTTTTATGGAACAGCCGAGGCTGCTGCGTGGCCCTACCACTGTAGCATCTAAATATTTGCTTTTTCGATGCTACGGTGGTAGTGCTTGTGTTTACATCACATATTCTGCTATCCAGTAGAATAATGTGACACCAACACGACAGGTAAATATTTAAATGGTGTTTCATCTCGAATGTTGAACAGCGCGGTATAATCAATCGCTTCATAAATATTCACACCTTTACTTTAACACTGAATGTCATAATTTAGAATAGAATACGTACTCCTTTTCTTTGTGATATTGTACTGGCCGATATGGTCGACGTGATCACCACGTACTCCGTGGATACGATCCGCTCGATTCAGCGGTATAGCAGCGGTGGTATCACCGTGCTCTCGCTTTGTCCAGCTGATGATGCGAGAGGCGCAGCAGAAGCCCAGCTGAAAGCAGCCGAGCGGCGGCGGCGAAGGCGACGAGGCGGTCGCCGACGCCTCGGAGCCCGACCCGAACGCGCTGCAAACCGTCCAGACGTACATCATGCTCGAGCAGCGCCGCCGCCCCGACTTCTCCATCGACTCCATCCTCAACTACGACCATTAGGTGTCGCTCGCCAATCGGACGGCAGAGGGCGCTCGGACACAATGGACGGATTAACATGGGACGTACGCGAACCAGAGCACACCGTTTCACGTGTGGGCAATGCACTCTCGGCGCACCCTTGCCAACGAACCCACGTATGGGTACATCGATTTAGGAACATTGTGCGGGTCAGTGCTCTCGTTACCGTGCAGGGTTTTCGCGGCACAATTGTCGTCATCTGTGCGTCCGCGACCAAATAATTTGTGAGCGATACACCTGCACAGACGGCGAACCCTGCTCGAGCATTCTGGCGGCAAAAATGTCAAATTGGTGTACGATCTAAAAAATAAACAGTGCGCTCGTGTACATTTATGGTCACTAATATTAAATGACGAAGGGCCTCGACCGGTCGATTGCACAAGAACGGTAGTACCGGTACCCTACTGATTAATGCGGGATCACTAAATGCTTAATGCACGCTTTTGCACATGGTGAGGGCAAACGAAATTCCCTGGACGTGTGTTTGGTGCATGGGCGCAGATTAATATCGGTTGAAAGGCGGAAAGTCTATAATGATTTTTAAAAAAAGTATGTAAACTTGTGAATTTAAAGAGGAAAATATAAAATACGGTTTACAATTAACAAGCATAATAATAATACCTACCCGGTATATAGCTGACTTGTAAACGAATTCTCGCCTTTTATGCCGATATTTACTCGTTTCTGCCGGCCCACGGATTTTGTCGTGCTTTTTGATGTGTCGCCTGCTATTTAAGCATTGTAGCTAAGCCTGCAGGCTTAATTCTATTTGTATTATGCGTGTTATATAGGTATAGTCTCTATGGTATCAGTATAACTTGACGACTTATGCCCGAATCTTATTTCCAACGAACGGCCCTTAAACTTAGCTTCGTATTCGCTTCTTACAGCTTCGTAAATTTCATAACGACTTGTAGATAGAAGGCGTGCCCGGTTCCTATATTATCAAAACGAGGGGAGAAGAGAGCGATTTCCTTACGAGCCGTTGCATTACCTACGGGAAGTGAGTTGCTAGCGTTCCTTTAATCTATAAGTCGTTATAAAAGTTACTATGTAACTAACGGTCGTTCGTTGAATTTAGGAACCGGGCATTAGTGATGGACCTAGTGGTTACTTTTGCAAAGATTCACATTAAAAAAGCTAATGAAACTTTCTTTCGAAAAGCGTTCACTAGGTGTTGTAATTTTGGTGTTTTTCGAATAAAGTTTTAAGACTCGTAGAAACGTATTGAAACATATTGAAGTTAAATTTTATGTATAAATAAACATAACGGGAAATTCTGCACTGCATTCGGCTTGTAATAACCGATGATGGCAGAAGCATCGTATTATAGTTGTATAAATGTATAGTTTAACTGTATTCACTAGCTTTGTGAGTGGTTGTATACACCTTTTCTGACATTGAGTTAGTTATTGAAATGTTTATATAAGAAATGTTTATGTAATGAAATTTCGCGAGACGTATGAATATTTATGAAAATATTATCTTACTACATGACTTATTTTCGTCAATAGCGGCGAACATAAGCTTTAAAATGTTGTTAGAAACATTAAATTTGATAAAAAATTATAGTAACTATGACGTTGCGACAAATAACGTCTTTGAGAAATAATATATGGAGATTAGTAATATTACCGTTCAATCCACTTACAACTAAACAAAATATATTTCCACATATAAATATGAAAGATGGTGTGCAAGTTTAATTGTTTCAAAACGTTAATTTTGTCTATGTACATTTAGATAAAAAAAATAAACATTCTCTAGATAAGTGAAATCTTAGCGAGTTCTATTATAAAGGTAAAAGATGTATTAAATAGTGTGGTAATCAACACTATATGAGTAAAAATTTTTAATATGAAAAGCTGAAAATCTCAAGCTAAAAAAAATAGTCTAATTTAAACTATAATATTCGATGGCTTATCATCATCCTAGGTATTTTATCCTTAATCTATATAATCTATTATGATATTTTTTTAATTGGCCGCCTGTAGGTTAAGTCAATATCCTAGTACACTAATTACCCGCCCTTAGGCGGATTTAGTGTGGGCTATATGTGTGCTTTTTTTTTAAATTAAGACTGAAGACCTAAAATGTTTGAACATTTCATTGTTGCTGCTATAACGGCGTAACGTAAGAGAATTGTTATTTGTAATAAAATAAACACAGCATTTAAACATATTAATAATATTTCTACTTTGAATTTCTAACCCACATGAATAGGTGGGTAACATGATGTAGCGTAAATAGCGCTCTAACTTTTCGATTTTGAATAATATGCTTTCTAGATATTTTAAACTAGAAATAATAGTTTATACAATATAATTACAATATAATCGTAAATGTGGTAATTATTAAGATTATTATATTTAGATTTTTGTTGTAATTGTAAAAGTGTACACCATTAAACTAGTTCGCTACATTTATTAATATGTGTCTATAAATCTTATAATAATATTCTATAAAGTAATAAATTACCGGGCGTTTTAAATTTTCATGTATTAAAATGTAGTTGAAAATATAGTTTGTCTAATAGCACTCACATAATTATTAGAACTACATAGTTATATTATTCTCAATATGATACTAAAGCGCTTTCTGTCTTTCTTTTAATGTTATTAATGTTCTTGAATTCTTGGTGTCTAAATATTCATATTGTAGTTTTGTCATTTTCGCAATGACATAATAAAATCTGATTTTCTTTTTTTATAATTATGATAATTCTGACATCATACTTGGAATTTTTGAATATTAATACTATGAAGAAGTGAATACTGTGAATTGTTATTTAATTTTCTTGAATTCTTGTGTGATCGTTGGTGGATATATAATCATATGGTCGTTTTGTCATGTTTACAATGAAATAGTAAAATTTTAATTTCTTATTTTATAATTATCTTAAAGCTGTAACGTTTTGAATATTTATACTATGATAAAGTATATGTTTATATGCATACATTTTAAATTTTTAAATGTTCATGTCCAGTCCTTGTGCATGTTCTGCACATGTTTTTGATTTATTTATAACATGCATCAATCTAGTTTATCCAAGTATTAATCGGCGCCGACACTCAATTCTAGTAAATAATGTATATTTAGCTCATTCTTGTTCGGAATTTGAACAGTTGGCTATGGGAAATTTAGGTGCAAAACTATGGTACTGGGGAAATTTGTATCAGTATTTTAACGAATTTAGGACAAACCGTTTAAATAACGTTTTCTTAATAGATTGCAGTCAAATATTTTTCTCAAAGTCTCATGATTAGGCGTTAAAATGAAATTGTATTATTTATAAATAATTGCGATGTTATGGAATTAATGTTTGGGGAAGAAAATGGAATTTTAAAGTTACGGTTTCGCCGTCTGATTACCGTCGAGACAAATTCGTGTGATCGGTATCTTATATAAGCAAATATTGACTGACTCAAGTGTAAGTGTTTTAGATAGTACTATGTCGGATTTTAATTGTAATATGTCTGTCTAATAATATATTAGTCAAAGCATACAAATTTATTCGGTTATTTTCTGTTGTCAATTACCAAGCATTCTATGTGTATAATAAAAAGATTTAAAAACGTTTTGGTTTTTCATTTATTTTAACCTTTTAATTAGTTTTTGTTCGACGAAACAATTGATTTGAAATCTTGCATATACGACATTTTCATAAACTTGAGGTTAGGTCGTAGCAACACGACTTAGCAAAAATATGTTAGTAGTATAAGTATATTATACGCGTAGAACTTTTAAAAGCAATTTAATTCATCAATAACATATAAAAGACCAAATTCTATTCAAACTTGTGCTTCTGAATCAATTTACGGTATCAGTAAGCTGTAAAATCTTAAGTGGTTGTGTCAGCAAAGGCTTGACTTGTGAGCTTTCGAAGGATATTAATCGTTTACAGCACTATGCGCAGGTACGCTGTCATGAATTGGTCATTTCTGGTGCGGCTTTATCCAATAATGCTTGTAGCAGTGAACGTAGCTTTGGACGAATAACATTCAGCGCTGGTGATGTGTGATTTCGGAATGAAGTCGATATCGGATTCTCTGTCATTGGTATTTCTTCTCGTAGGGCCCAATCTCGTATGTGTCGCTTCGATCCTGAATAAAACCATCCAATATGATCAAAATAAATCCAACCTTTAGTAGTGCCATTTTTGTAAAAATTTTATTCACAAACGAAGAAAGTCTCATGAGGTACTTATTCGAACTTGTTAACATATTTTTACTCAAAACTGGTCAACGCTTGAGTATTGTTGTAAATAAGACTTGAGTGTTGAAGATGCCTATGACGTAAGAGCTCGCTTAGGAATTTTTGGCGAAAAAAATATTCACGAAGCTGATGGCGTTTCGACAACTCTAACACCAATCATCGAGAGGTATTCTGTAAAGCTTGCTGATAAAGCATATTGCATGCCCTCCTACCTGAAAGGCATTCGAGGACGAAGGCGTGATGCAGGACGGTCGAGTGTTATCGCTGGCAACACTATACCGGATATGACGTTTCTACTCGAGCGAAGGGATTGGTGGCTTGCAGCAGCGGGGACTTGCATTTCGGCTGCGTTCTCGGACGGTGATATAAGCACTAGTGCTGTAGTTAAAATAATAGAATCAATTTAAAAAAAAATTATAGTGCTAATCTCTGCACTTAAGATTGAACATTAAAACATGTAGAAAAAGTACGAAAATATTGTCGCCGCTGTGGAAATCGAACCCACATCTTCGGCATTCGCGGCCTGACGCTCTAGCCACTGAGCTAAACGTCTGATAGTCACAGCGAGAGCAATAGATGCGCCAAGCATTGCTTCAAATGCTAAATAA